TCATTCATTCCTAGAGATGCTTTTTTTTTCTCTGTTTCTCAGCTTCTGTTTTCCTCTTCTCTACTTCTATTTCATCTACCATCTCCTTTACATGATCTAATCTACTTTAAAATTCCTCTATTGTGTTTCACTTCAGATACTGTATTCTTCAGCTTTAAGTGGCTCTTTTTCAGGTTTTCTATCTTTTTGTTGAAGTCCTCTCTGAGATCTTGAATACTTTTCTGTAAATCTGTGAGCATGTTTATGAGTTTTATTTTGAAATCTTTATCAAGAATATTTGTGATCTCTGTTTCATTTAGCCCTCTTTCTGGCATTCTGTGTTGTAGTTTTGTTTGCATCAAATTCCTCTGTTCATTTGTCAGGGATTCTGAGTTTCTTCCTGTGTATTAGATGTCTCTGCTATGCTTTCTGGTTCTGAAGAGTAATAGCTTTATAAAGAAGGCTTGCTATGGTGCACAAAAGCTCAAGATTCCTTACTCTTTAGTGCCTGGTTCTGTTTTGTGGGGATGCCAGCTGTTGGTGTGCTGTGACCTTGAGCTGCTGCCTTTGTGATCAGCTCTGGAATCTCTGTTGAGCTCACTGTGGGTGGGGCTGCCCTCTGCCTGGCCTGCAGCGTGGTGGGGCTGCAGGGTTAATGGGGTAGGTGGACCAGTGTTCCCTGGTCAGACACATAGCACCAGGTTTTGATCTGCAGGGAGGAAGGAGCTCTTAGGGCTGGCTCCTCCAGGCACCTCTCCGGTTGGGCTGAAATGGAACCAATCAAGCTGGGAGAGTCTCCCTCTGCCTGCCAGGCAGCATAATCTGATGCTGCTGCTGGGCCAAATGGGTTGTCTGTCAGCAGCACATGCAGAGATGTGTTGCCAGCAAGGGGGATGGAGCATCTGGGGCTCCCAAGAGTTTCTGATTTCTTGGGACGAGTAAGGGCAGGGGAGGTATCCTCTACCTGCCCTTTCTCCTGAGGAGAGAGTTCTGTCCAACCCTCATCCCTCTGGTGTCCCTCCCACTGCTGGCAAGTGTTTCAAACTGCCGCCACTGCTGTGGGTCTCAGGACTGCCAGAGCATGCCTGCCCTCCACGCTGGTTGGGGTCTCAGCCTCCCAAAGTGTTCTGCTTGCCCCTGGTGTCCAGCCCCTATAATCACCAGAACCCAGTGTAACGTGGGCTTGTTGCTCCCAGAGCAGATCTCCAGAGCCAGGTACACAGCACTCCTGGGCTCATCCCCCCTCTGTTCTGCTTTCTCCTGCCTTTAGGCTGGGATACAGGAAGGGCTTGGCTCTCACTCAATCTCAGCTTTGCTGCTTCACCCTTTTCTGTGTGGTCTTCTCTTCTTCCTCAGGTGCAGGGAGTCTGTTCTGCAGTATTTAGGTCATGTTCAGGACTAGTTGCATTTGCTGTACTTTTCTCTTTCATGTGTTTTTGGGAGGAGGTTTCTCTCTTGCCTTCCTAATCCACCATCTTTAATCCCTATCCTGGAGCATTGTCTTTTATTGCATGGAGGTAACAAATGCCTTGCATTCAGAAGGCTGTCAGTGCAATCATGTGAGTGCAATACACAGGCTGTGAATTTACTGTGCCACAGATTAAGAGGAAGCCATGCAGGGTCTGACCCGTCCCCTGTGATCATTGTGCAATGTCAGCTCACTGAGGGCATGCTATGTGTGTGAGGTAGGAGGATGTGTAACAATATGTCATTACATTAAATCCATTTGTTTTAATCCTCATAAAGTTATGATGTGTGAGGTGAGTGCTTTTATTCCTAAATTATAAGCGAAGAAACCCTGGAGCAGAAGCTTGCACAATAGCTTAGTGTCCTGACATGCTCATCAGCTGTGTACACTGTCGTCACTCATCCTTTCTTGCAACTCCATTTAGAGAGTGCTTATGTGGACCAAGAACGTCAATCCTCTAATTGAGGGAGGTACCAATTTCGGGGGAACAGAGGAAGAAGAGTAAATTACGCCTGGAGACAGTTCCACAATAGGGACGTTTTAGCTGGATTTGATTCCCTGGGAGACGGAGGAACAGTGGGTGGGGATTCCAGGCCACGGCAAGTGCTGCAAGGCCAGAGGCTGGCAGGGCATGTGGGGACAGGCAGAGCCACTGCGAGGCTGCCAAACAACCTGTATTGCAAAGGTGCATTTTCCCTGTCCCAGGAAGTGCTGGAGCTACAGCAGCACAACACACAAGTGCCACCAGCTGCCACACATCCAAACACTGTTCCTCCAGAAGATTTAGACACATTCATGGTGACAGCACCATAGCAGGTTCGTTCTAAGGCTCTTGACACCTCTTGTTTGCAGATATCTCCTGGCAGAATTAGGACTGCCTGCAGGCCTGGACAGTTGGCTTCAGCTGGGTTGGCCCTGTTCTCACCATCTGGGCAGAAAGAGCTCTGTGATTTTAAACTGGAGCTGGTCTCCCTGATGCGGCCCTACTCTCTCCCAGTTAGTGCCAGGAAGACAGTGTCTTGTAGCTTGTGGTCAGGTCCATACTTGTGTACCTGCTAAGTGGTTCTGTCCCAAGGCCACTGGAGCTGGTTGGAGAGGCCTTCTAAAAAAGTCTGGAACAGAAACCTGCCTTCCGCCTGTAGACAGAATCCTGGGGTCAGAAGGAGGAGGACTTAAGAGATGACAGCTTTGGAGAGGGAGTGTTTGGGGACAAGGAGGGATGACCTTGGAGATTGTGTGTGTGGGTCACTGCAGTAGACAAATGGCTTGGGCTCCAGGATGACCTGGGTTTGAGTCTGGATTTATCCCTTAGGAGTGTGAGAACCTGGCTGTATCCTTGAGGCCTCTGCTCTGGAGTTTCTTCACTTATAATTTAGGAATAAAAGCATTTACCTCACACATCATAATTTTATGAGGATTAAACCAAATGGGTTTAATGTAATGACATATGGTTACACTTCCTCCTGCATCACACACATAGCATGCTCTCGATGAGCTGACATGACACAATGATCACGGGGGAAGGGTCTGAGCCTGCATGGCTTCCTCTTAATCTAGAGCCCACAGTAAACTCACGGCATGAGTATTGCATTCACATGATTGCGCTGACAGCCTTCTGTGTGCAAGGCATTTGTTAGCTCCATGTGATAAAAGACGATGCTCCAGGAATCCAGGAGACTGTGTGACATTGCTTTTGCAGCAAAGAGGCAGGTTTTAGTGCCATGAGTGAATCTCATTTATGTCACCTCAGATCTCGCTTACTTTTAATCATTCACACTAATTGAAAGCTTACCAATTGTTATTGGTAACAGTAGTACCGATATAGTACTAGGTAGCTTTGTCCCAGTATACAGAAAATTATTTTTTGGTATCTTCGATTTAGCTTTGGAAGGCTTTAGATGATGGAAGGTGGCAGATTTATTTTCTGTTTATTAAATTGACATGACTTATTATGCTAGTCAGTGTACTAGGCTCTGAAGACTGAAAGGTGAGTAAAACACTAACAGAAATGCAAAGAATAGGTGATAAATTCCACAACCCACAACAGACCTAGTTCTGGTTTAGAGGGAAGGAAGATCTCATGGAGGAGGTAGCAAATCAGTCAGGATGGCCTAGGTTTGCTGTGATAATGAACACCCCTCAACTCTCAGTGGTTTACCATCCCCACAGCTGACTTCCATTCATGCTACATATTCAATGCTTGTCAGCAGGAGTCTCTGCTCATTGCAGCCACTTAGGGTCATGGAATGTGGGAATTGGGCACTGCCTCCTTATGCTCCTACATGGATGTGATGTGTATCTCCTCATGGGCATTTCCTGGTCCATAACTAGCCATATAGCCACACTGACTTCAAAGGGGAGGCAGTGCAATCCTAGCCTCTACCCAGAAGGCAGGGAGTTAGAAACACACGGAGAACAACACTCAGTGAATGACTGAGTGACTTTCTCCCAATATGCAGAGATGAGTGTGAAGGAGAAGGGCTTTTCAGTGGATGATAAGCATTAGGCAAGGTGCAAATGTTGGAAAAATAAGGATGCAGAGAAGGGGTCTGAACAGGAAAGCTGGGAGGCAAATTTGCAAAGGCTGAGAGGTCACATTGTGAAAGCATGCTAAAGAAGTTGGATTTGATCCAGGAGACACTTAGGATTTTAAAGAAGTGGTGGTTTAGGAAGTGTAACCTGACTGCTGTCTGCAGTAGAGACCAAAGGGCGGCAGAGACAGGAGATCTATTTGCTTCTTACACAAATCCAGACAAAGGGTGATGAGGGCTGGAATAGGGGTCTTCTAAATGGGGAGGAAAGAAAAGGCTACACATTTCTGCTACTCGAGAGAAAGACTTGACCAGGTTTGGAACTAATTAGATATGAAATGTAAAGGAGGTGGAGAGTCAAAGATGATTCCAAGATTTGGGCCTAGGAGAATGCGGCTATTATAATCAGAGAACAACGGAAGATGGACAAGTCTGGGAAGGAAGTTTGAGGCTTGTTGATTGCAAAGCAGGGGTCTTTATTTTGTGTACTCATTTCCCAGACCTGGAACAGTGCCTAGCATATAACCTGGGCCCAGTAATATTTGTTGACTATGCAATACCAGAACACAAAAGTGGGGAGGTTCCCAAGCAACTGTTAGTGCAAAATTGGCACTCCTTCGTGATGTCAATGCTAGGAAGGCAGAGATTGGACTATTTGAAGGCACCAGATGAGAAGAGTGGCCAGGAAAGGGTAGAGAAAAAAGGAAGGAAGCTGAAGAGAGAACATTTAAGGGCTAGAAAATAGGATCAGAATCCAGGGAAGGTGGCATTTGAGGACGGGATCAAGTGGTATCAGAAGCTGCAAGAGGGTGAAGGATACTGGGAACAGATAGGCGGTTATCTGGTTGAACAACTCAGGTCTCCGGCGACCTCCCCGGGAGAGCTGGGCGCAGGCCACCCAGCACGGGCCACCAATGGCAAAGGGGCAGCTGCGGGCCCTGCGGCGGCGGAGGGGGGCAGGGGCCAGAGAGGGAGGCGGGGTCAAGGGCGGTTCTGGCGTTCGGGCGTGGAGGGGTTGTAATTGAGACCTAGCAGTGTAGCAGGTCGGAATGGTTGTCTTCCAGCCGAAACGGCCACTTTTTTGGGGAGGAAGAGCGCAGGTTGGTTGACTGTTGTCAGGCGCTTACCGAGGGCCTGTCGTGTGCGGGCCGGGGTGGTGCTAACGGCCACCACAGGCAGGTCGCCGACTCCTACTGCTCCGTCACCCTCCGGCGCGGGGCCTCCTGTTCTCCTTGGCCTGGGGGAGGCTCCTGGGAGCTCCCGGAAGGCGGGCGCGGCAAAGGGGCGGCGGGCCGGGAGAGGCGCCGGGCGGCGGGGCGGGCCCGCGGAGGCCACACCCTGAAACTACCTGCTCGGGGCAGGAAGGCCGGGCGGCAGCGCGACCGCAGCTGGTGGACCTGCGCCGGAGCTCGGCCCGCCCCGCGTCCCCGGCGGACCCCGCCGCCCCAGGGTCCCCGGCGAGCCCCGCGACCCCAGAGTCCCGGGCGCGCCCCGCGCCCTCCTCCCACCGCGGACGACCCCGAGCCCCGGCGTCCCCGGTGTCGCCCCCGCGCCCTCCGCGTCCCCAGTGTCCCCCGTGTTCCCGGTGTCGCCCCCGCGCCCCCTGCGTCCCGAGGGCGATGGGAACCAGCCGCCCGTTTGGACGACGCCTCTGAAACCGACGGCCGGCCACCGAAACCATGAAGAGCAGCCAGGCCCGCAAGGGCGGAGGGGGCTCCAAGGACTTCGGCACGGGACTCAAGTACAGCGCGCGGCCCGAGGTGGGTGAGGCGTGGGGCCGCCAGACTGGCGGCCAGGGCGCGGGCGTCGTCACGGTCGGGAAGGACACCCGGGGTGGCCCAGAGCCGCCCACTCCGAGAGGACGCCGAGGTCCCCCGGCCCCTGCAGCGCTGCGCTTTGTTTTGGCAAATGGAATCGCTCCATTGCCCGTTCGTGGCCCTGGCGCTGGCCTGGCAGGTGGAATTTCCTGTTCGGCAGGTGCCTGGCCAGACCTTTGGTACCATTCCCGCAGCGCGCCGGCCACGATGAAGGGGGGAACCCTCAGGTCCTTGGAGACGCTGCATCTCGCCTCTGGCCTTCCTGCCCCTCAGTCCTTAGCCTCACTTGGATAAAGGGCTCTCTCAGGTCTCTCCATTAACTCCTCATCAGTAGCGCACATCTGGCAGGAACCAGGGGTGGAGTCGTGGGGTGGGGTGATTTGGGTTGGGGAATGGAGGTTTCCAGGGGCCCTCTTTGGCCGCTGTGGGAATTTTTCTTCTTCCTGGCCAGAGGCACTTTGGGACCTTTGCAGAGGGCAACTGGAGACCAGAGCTTTGGTTGCCAGAGAGCCTGGGGCTAGGAACTCCAGGGGTGAGTTTGTCTGGGCTTCTCTAAGAGGAGATGGAGCTCTTTGGGAAGGTGACTGTGCAGGAAAGGATGTGGGAACGTCTGACTGGAGCCTCTGGAAGATACTTGTTTGGTGGAAATAACAATGAGATCCCTTGAAAGATCTAAGACAGTAAATCTCAGTGTAGCATTGGGAATGGTTCTTAGTTACCTTATTGAAGGACACACCTGGGTGGCAGTGCCCCAGCAGGACTAGCAGCCAGTTTCCACCCCTCTGCCCCAAGGGGACCCCAGAATTCATGGAAAGCCAGCACCCAGCAGGTCACAGCTGGCACAAGTGGGTGCTGAGAGGCAGGGGCTGATTCGGGAGTGGCTTGGCCACTGGGCAGGTGATGGGCTATCTTGCTCTGCTGGCGCTCACATTCCCCCAGGTCCTGGATCCCATAACCTCCTCTGCTGTCCCACACTGGGGCTGTGGCTCCCCTGTCAGGCCAGACTGGGGAGCTCTGAAACTGATTCCTTATCTCTAAGCAGTTTCTTGACTTAGGAAACTTGCAGAGACCAGGCTCTAGGGCCGCAGTGGTCAGCCAATCCACAAAGAGCAACTGAGGCTGGGCCCTCTTGTTTTCTCCACTTTTTCACTTCTTGTGAGGAGGAAGTGGGGACTGAGCAGCAGCCTGGAGGGTTGGGCTGTGTTCCCGCTGGGCCTGGGCCCTGCTTGAGGCAGGTTCACCTTCAAGAGGATGGACACCTTCTGTTTCCCTTGCTGTAATTGCCGTGTTTACGATTCCTTGATAACTGCCTGCTGGGGCTCTAGACTCCTGCCTCCTAAGCAGAGGAGAGGTGCCTGCTGTTTGTTATTTGTTATTTCTGGACTGCGCATCTTCCCGACTTCCCTTTCTGGGACTCTCTGCTGCTCGTGTTTGAGAGCTGGGGCTTCCCCTGAGTCAGCTCACTGCCCTGTTGGGTTCCAGCCTGAGGTCCACCACGCTCTTCTCTGAGCTCCTTCAGCTAACTGATGTCGCTTGTCACCTGCAAGCCTTGCTTTTTCCCCACTGGGTCCCTGCTCATTTTCTCATCTTCTGGAGGCTCATACATTCTCCACGCCACCCAGCTCTGCCTTCCCCTTCTCCTTCTGCGATCTGCCCTGCCAGTGGATCACTCTTTGTCTTTCCTCCTGCTGGGCTCCTTGGAACCAGCTTTGTACCTAGTCCGAGGCCTGGTGCTGTCGGAGAGGAGGCTCTCAAAGACAAATAAGATATGGTTGTTTCCTGTAAGAAATATACAGTCTTGAGAGCGATGCTAGGAGATGTTCAAAAATTAGAAGTGACGCAGTGTCCTGAAGGAAGTAACTTGCCATGCCTAGGGCTCATTTCTGCTGCTGTAAGAAGTCTTCAGATATCCCTCCCCACTCCATGCCTTACCAGAGATCTCACTCCCTGGCTTACCTTGTGGTGTTTGCAGTCAGGGTCCACAGCTTCTGCCTTGACTTGTTCCCTGACCAGGAGGTGCAGCTGCTGCCCCATGTTTGCTCAGCAGAGCCTGGCCTGGCCCCACCAGGCCCCACAGGGCACTGTGCTTTTGAGTTCCTTGTTCCTGGTTACTTCCCTCCCTGCATGGACAGAGGAAGGTTCTGTCTGTGATGCTTATATACGGTTTCATCCTTTCCCAAAGCTGATGACTCTGGCCCAACCCCACCTGTTTCCATCAAGCAGGAAGTGGCCGTTCTGTGTTCCCCACCATCTCTGGGGCTCTGATGCACACATCGTGTCTGGGGATCCTGTGTGCCTCCCTGCATGAGAGCAGGTGTACAGATGCTGGTTATCCAGGTCACTAACAAGGACTGATAAGCCTGCCTGAGTGTCTTGACTGCTGTTGAATATTTGATGGTGGCTGTGAGGCTGTTTTGACACCCACTGGTTCCTTCTCAGGTCAAGAGTGCCCCAGGTAAGACTCAGTATCCAGGGGCATATGGAGACCAAGACTGGGAATCAGAGGTTGTGGGAACTAGGTTGTACAGCTGTGGCTATCCAGAGTTGTCTCCTTGTTAATTGGCTGAGCATCCACTCATCCACGTAGCAATATCTGTTAGGCACCCTAACAGATAGTTGGGTGAGGGACTATGTGCCGGAGCTGGGGAGTAACACTGTGAAAGACCCCAGACACCCAGTCTTTGCCTTCAGGGACCACCACCTGTAGTGTGGGATACAGGGAATTATATTCTGTTTGTATAAAAGGGCTAGGTTCTGGAGAAGTCCAGGTGGGCACTTAGGCGGGGCATCTCTCTCGGACTTGAAGAGCCTGGGAAGGGGAGGTGGGTGAGTGGCCGTCTGTGATGTGGTGGCAGGAGTGCCCAGCATGGAGCTGCAACCTGGTGCTGCTGATTTCCTGCCAGGTGATCTCAGACGTGTTGCCTCATCTCTCAAGCCTCAGTTTCTGTGGCTATAAAATGGGGATGACATGTGTTGCAGGTTTCCTGCAAGGATTTAAAGGGATGTTTTACGTGAGAGCCCTCTGTAAGCTGCAGTGTGGTGTACAAATCACAGTTTTCAGTTTCTGAGCTGGAAGAGGCTTGAGACAAACAGTAAGATAATGCAGTGGTAATAGGGTGCAGGAGAGGAGGCAGAGAACCCAGGTTGTCCGTGGGCGTTGACCTCACAGCTTCTGTGAGAAAGGCCCTTCCATGAAAAGGAAACATGTGTGGCCACAGGCTACTCATTGCTTCCTCCCTCCCATCTTCCCCCTTCCCCCACTCTACAAAACCAAACTTTAAACAAACTTCCTTGTTTCCTGGTTTTCTTGAGCATGTGCTGGGCAGGTGTGTGCAGGGCTGAGGAGAGAGCAGGGAAGGTGATAAGCATGGGAAACTAAGATTGTTATCTTGGTGGAGACTCACAGGTGCAGCAAATATACAGGGAGCCTGCCGTCTCTGGGGCTTTCCCTTCTCCCTGATCCTGGGAAGACCTGGTAGTTCATGGCTCCCCTGTAAGATATGGGGAAAATGAGGCTTGAGAGAAGACAGCCCTTGCTTGATAGCTGCCCGAGTGAGAAGCCCAAGCCGTCCACTACCTGTGGGACCCGCCCGAAGGGAATCTGCCCAGAGCCACTTGGCCCTGTCATTATAGCTGCTGCCTCCTAGCCTCTCAGATCCCCCTGGGGCCGGCCTGTGCTGTGGCTGGTGGCCCTGTGGTCCTGGAGTCTCTCTGGTGTGAGTTCCTTCTCTGGTCTGTCGTTCTTCCCAGGGCTCATGTCCCTCTTAAGAGAGAGTCTGTTCTTGGAAAAAGAGTGATAGTGTGACCGAGCCCCCTGGGAGCCCAGGGCCCAAAGGTGTTGCTTCTGACCTTGTACACTTGCTACTGGAGTGTTTAGAGTATGAATAGTCCTTGCTAGCATTTATTAAGCATATACCATGGATTACACCTCTTCATGTTATTATTATTACTATTATCCTCACAGCAACTATATGAAAAAAACCGCCTAGTTTACAGATGAGAATACTGAGGCCCAAAAGGTTTGCATAATGGCCCAAAGGCAGGTAGAGATAGAACAAGGGTTCAAATTTACATCAGTACAACTTCAGAGCTTGAGATCTGAGCTGCAAAATGCAAATACAGTTGCATGCCCGAGACAATAGGGATTGATGCATATTCCCAGCAAAGCCCTAGAACACACCACTGAACTGAGTATGGTGGGCACCACGCACCAACACAAGTCCACTAGAAACTTCTCATACCACACTCATCTGGCTTCCCCTTTTGATGTTACTTCTGGTGGACCAGGAGACCAGCTGGAGATTGATTTCAACAAGGCTGTGAACAAAATGTGTCTTTATTTATTGTACATATGATTAAAAATAATAATAGAAATTTTAAAATGCAAAAAAACTCACCTATCCAAGTCAATGAATCAGGTTGTTTACACTTCATCCTCCTTTGCTCTCTTTATCACATGCATGTTTTTATCTGGTTTGTTGTGCATGTACAGTCTTGCATGCTATCACTGTCTATCCTGTCTGCTGGGCATGATGGAGGCCTGGGGGCCAGAGAACAGGAAGGTTTGGCAGGTTTGTGTCAGACTGAACAGCTGTGCCTAAGAGGGTCCATTCATGGATCCGAGTCACTCTGGGCAGTGTGGCCTTGGGCTGCTCTAGGCTCCTGCTTGAGTTCTATGCCATTTCTTATTTACTAGCAAGTCAGAGGAGGTCTTGGAGCATTTGCTTATCAGGTTTGTAGGTGACACCCAACCGGTTGGGAAAGGCCCATAACTTGGATGATTTAATTATGAGTCAGAAGGCCCTGGACAGCCTGCATGATGGGCTGCCAAGAGCAGAATGGTGTCCATCTGTGTTTGGAGAACCAGCTCTGCTTACCGCACTTCGCAACAATGGAAACGAAATCCCACCTCCCTCCCCCTCTTGGGAAGTGAGGATCCCCCG